GGCTGTGTCAGCGGGGCCCGAGCTGTGCCGTGCGCTGCCGCCCCATCTAATCTAATCGTACAGTAGATAACGAAGTGTCCATATCAGGCAAGTAGTACAGAGGTCGCGGGTTCGAGCCCGCGAAAAGGAAAAAATTAAAAAACGGCTAGGCGCCGTACCAACTCGTGACATTACCCCCCCCTCAACGGCGCATGACCTCATGCGAGGCGCCCTTGCCCATCTCCCACCCGGAGCGGCAGCGTGCTTCAGTCAGCGGCGAAGGCATTGGCTGAAAGTTGAGACCACCAAAGGTAGCAGCGTTGAGTCGACGAGGGGCATTCGGGTTCTTCCGGTGGAAGTCGGCTATGAGGGCCGGCGCATTGGCAACGTTGCGCGCCGGTTCCCATGACGTATGTGAGTCGTCATAACCCTTCCACTTGACGAGGTACTGCAGCTGACGCCGGAAGATCCTCGAATCTTTGATCCGCTCAACCTCGTACTCCTCGTCGCCCTCAACCTCGATCGCAGGCGGCTCCTCCGGCTCCCGGCCCGGGATATCGCTACGCGTGTACTTGCTAAGTAAGGAGACATGGAACACCGGGTGTACCGGCACCGACTTCGGCAGGACTAATTCGTAGTCCAAGTCTCCGAGCTTTCGCCGCACGGCATATGGTCCGAGGCGCTTGGGACTGAGCTTCTTGCTCGGCTGTTTCAGCTTAAGGTTCCGGGCATCAAGCCAGACCTTGTCCCCCGGTGCAAAGACCGGTGCCTGTTGCACATGCTTATCGTAGTACACCTTCATGCGTTCGGCCGACAGCTCGAGCGCAGAGCGCGTATCGTCGCGAATCTCCTTCAGGATTTTGAGCCGATCAGCGGCTGCGGGCATCGCAGACATTGGATTGATCCGAACCTGGATCTCAGGATTGTACCCTTGGTGCAGGTAGAAAGGGGAGTGCCCGGTCGCGGAGTGAACTCGGTTGTTCAATGCAAACTCCGCGAGCGGCAACTGCTTCGCCCAATCATCCTGCCTGTGGCTTGTGAAGGCGCGCAGGTACTGTTCGATCTCCTGGTTCCAGCGCTCAGTCTGGCCGTCTGTCTGGGGGTGGAACGCTGTGGATAGCGCCGGCTCGATCCCTAGCCCCTTGTACACCGCATGGAGATACTTTGAAGCAAACTGGGGACCTCGGTCTGATATGACCTTGGCCGGGGCCCCATGATGCTTGAACACATCGCGGATGTACAGGTCTGCCGCACCTTCTGCTGTCAGGGTCTCATGGCAGGCCGAGAAGTGGACCTGCTTGGTGAAGCGGTCGGCGGTGACCAGGATCGAGTCAAATCCATCAGACTTCGGCAAGCCGACGATCATATCGGTCGTGATGATCTGCCACGGGCGCTCGGGGATCTCGTTCGGCTTCAGCGGACCCTGGGGCTTGGCTGGGAATGTCTTGGTACGGTTGCACACGTCGCAGGTGCTTACGTACTCATTGACGAATTTAGACATTCCTGGCCACCAGTAATTCCGTGACACGAGCTCCAGGGTTTTGGCACGACCGCCATGACCGGCGATCGGCGAGTCGTGGTGGATCTTGACTATATCCCGCCGGAGCTCCGCATTCCTTGGGACGTACACGCACCCGCGGAACAGCAGGAGCCCTTGTTCGGCATTCCACTCCTCAAAACCCCTTTGCAGCCGGGGCGGCCCGAGGTCCTGCACCTTTTCAAGTGCCTCGGCCACCTCCCGATCCTTCTCCGAACACTCCCTGATGCGCTTCAGAAGCGACTGATCGGCCGTCACCGAGGCATGACCGCGCCTGGCGGAGGCGATGCGGAAGCGCTCTGGCTTGAGAACTACCTGATCGGTGTTATCGTCCTCATCGCCGATCTGGTGATCTGATCATCGCGACAGAGCATCAGCCTTTCCATTGGACGTCCCGGCCTTGTGCGTGATGCGGAAGTCGAAGCGAGCCAGGAACAGTGACCATCGCGCTTGACGACGCGTGAGGTGCTGTGACGTGCGCCAGTACTCGAGATTCTTATGATCGGTCACGATCTCGAACTGATTGGGTAGGCCCTCGAGATAGTGGCGCCAGTCGTCCAGTGCTTCAATGATCGCGAGCATCTCCTTATCGTAGATCTCGTAGTTCCGCTGTGCCGGATCCATCGCATGGGATCTGAAGGCGATGGGATGCCATTTGCCATCATCCTGCTTCTGCATCAACACACCGCCAGTGGCATATCCTGAGGCGTCGACCTCAATGCGCGTCTCCCGATTGGGGTCGTACAGTGCTAGGACTGGAGTCGTCGCGAAGAGCCGCTTGAGCTCGTCGAAGGCGTGCTGCTCCTCTTCGCCCCAATGCCATGGGTCGTTTCCTGTGAGCCGGTCGAGTGGTCGCGAGATTTTAGCGAAGTCTTTAATGAAACGGCGGTAGAAATTGGAGAACCCCCGGAACTTCTGGACATCCTTTTTGTTCCGGGGTACCGGCCACTCATTAATTCCTTTTAGCTTCGCGGGATCCATCGCTACCTCATCGCCACCGAACACATAGCCGACATAGTCGACCTTGGGTACGTCCCATTCGCATTTCTCAGGCTTCAGGAATAGATCATTATCCTGAAGGCGGCGCAGAACCTCGCGTGTGACCTTCTCATGCTCCTCTTCATTGGTGGAGAAGATGAGTATATCGTCCAGGTACACAAGGATCTTGCCGCCGACGATGAGATCGTGGAAGATCTCGTTCATCATGGCCTGGAAGGTCGCGGGGGAATTAGTGAGGCCAAAGAACATTACCAGGGGTTCGTACAGCCCCCGGTTAGTTACAAAGGCCGCCTTCCACTCGTCACCCGCTTTGATCCGGACGTTGTTGTATCCCCATCGGACATCGAACTTGGTGAAGAGCGTGGCACCGCGGAGCTTATCTACCATCTCGGCGATCAACGGCAAGGGGTAACGATTTTTGACCGTGATCGCGTTCAATCGGCGGTAGTCCTGCACGGGTCGAAGCGTTCCCTCTTTCTTTTTGATGAAGAAGAAAGGGGACGAGATGGGTGACTTCGACTCCCGTATGTAGCCTTTCGCCAACTGCTCTTTGAGGAACTTGTCCAGTTCCTCTTGTTCGTTGTTTGACAGGGGATACACCTTCGAATGGAACGCCGAGTAGCCGGGTACGAGTTCGATCGCGTGATCATAAGGCTTCCTTTCGGGTAGCCGTTCTGACGCTTCTTTGGAGAAGACGTTCAGGAACTCGTGGTACTGTTTAGGTACCGACTCCTCGGCGGTTTTGACGACCTTCTTCTTGATCTCTTCCTCAGCGAACAGCTGGGAATATGTGTGCCCTGCTGCGATGAACAGCTGAGGGGCGCCGGGAAGCGTGATACCCTGCTCCCAGGCCTCGATCAAGTCAGCTTCGTCCCACTCTACCCCCACTGGATCATCCTCGGGTTCGAAGTCCGGGAGTACCTTACTCCGGCAAGCACCTATGACCGACCGTCTGGACTTCTGCGAGCGTCTGCGCGCCGTGGGCCTGACCCCCGTATCACGCGCAGTCGCTGCTTGCTCCATTCGGCCAGTCTTCCTGGCACTACACGTTTCAGGGCATCGTGATAGTTTCAGGGAGCCTGACTCCCAATCGATTTCGGGGTTGTGCTCTCGCAGCCAATCCAACCCGACGATCACATCTTCTGGACCTATGTCCGTGACCGTGAACACCGTCTTTTCGATGTGCTCTCCTATCTGCATCTGTAGCACGGCTACCTCCGAGATGCTTCCGTCTTTATTGAGCGTTCCATCGATATTGTAAAGCGGAATCGGCTCTTTCAATTTCCGCGTTCGTACTCGATTTTCCTTGATGAAACGCTTGTTGATGAACTTCGTGGTGGCTCCGCTGTCCACCATTGCAACTATATCCTTGTGCCGTCGTTCTCCTTTGAGGCGCACCGGGATGTGGAAATGCTGGGACCCATGGTCCAACTCGTACACATTTGCGGTCGCCAATACATTGTACAGATTATTATTACGCGGCCCGACGCGTGCGGCACGAAGCGCGGACCGGATCAAAAAGACTCCTCCTTCATTGCCCGATAGTGCTCGAGCTCCTCGCGCATCGACTTCATCTGTGCTATTAAGTCCGCCAGCTCGGAACTCTCCGATTTCGCTGAAGCGGCGCTTGTACTCGCCGAGGATGAAGCGACGGGGGCGCTTGTCGCCGCCTGGGTGGAACCCGAGGCAACCGTAGCCCGCGCATCGGCGCGTTTTGTGTAAGGTTTATCCTTACAGTTAGGGCACTCAAAACGACGGTACCCTTGCTTCCCGCAGCCAAAGCATGTGCCGGGGAAGTCTCCTTTTCCGACGGCCGCATTGATGCTGGCCGAAGCTGCGTGTGTCGTAGGTGCACCTCCACGTGCCCCACCGCGACCTCGACCTCGGGCCGAGAAGAAGCTGTTCAGCTCGGGCCGACGGGCCCGGCTGATGTCGAGGATCTGCTCGACCTCAATGGCTCGCTTTTCAGCGGCTCGCCACGTGGTGAAGGTCTCGAGCTCGAT